CCCACTGCAAAAATAGTTGCTAGAAATATTTTTGGTACAAGCTTAGAATTTGTTAATCCTTAGGGCTAATCCCTCCCTTGATCTGCCTTTTCTCTTTTTCTCCTTTCTCTTTTCTTTCCTTTCTCTCTTGTTTCTCTGTTGAGTGAAATGCATTTCTGTACCCAGCTATGTGAGTATGTCCTTCCTGTCTTTGACCGGTTTAAATGAGTGATGTTCGATGGTTGCCTGCTCCCCCAACTCTTTCCTCCCTGTTTTATGTAGACTTGTGTTTACGTACCCAGATTATGTGAGATCATTTCCATAGATAAAATTATAGAATATTTAATTATCATGAAAATTGTTTAGTTCTTTGGAGACTCAGTTTTCTGTCATGTAGTAGTAGTAGTAGTAGTAGTAGTAATGGTGCCGTGGATGTTAAGTAAAATTAATTGACTTAATTCCAAGGTTAAGGTATTCTCACCTCTTGCATCAGACAACTTGTTTTATTTTAATACAGTAATATGTGATTATAACACTTACACTTGCATTTCAGCCTACATTTTGTTATTTGATTCTTACAACAAATAATGAGGGTTGGATGCTCCGATACAGAAGAAGAGACTGAGACCAAAAGAGGTGGAGCGATTTGGCCAAGGTCATTCTTGGAATAAATGCTTGTTGATTGATTTGTGAATTTTTTTTTTTTTTTTGGTGAGGCAATTGGGGTTAAGTGACTTGCCCAGGGTCACACAGCTAGTAAGTGCCAAGTGTCTGAGGCTGGATTTGAACTCAGGTCCTCCTGACCCCAAGGCCAGAGCTGTATCTACTGCACCACCTAGCTGCCCTTGATTTCTGAATTTCAGTCCATTGACCCATCCTTCCTTTAGGGACACTCCTGGAAATCTGTGTTTGCCACAGAAAGTAGGTGTTGTCATGGGTCATGGAGACAGGTTTGGAAGGGACCTCAGAGACCACCTAGTTACCCCCTCCTCCTTTTACAGACAAGAAGCCTGAGGCTTAAACAAGTCACTTAAGGTCACTGAGCTCGTATGGGTAAGAGGTGGGATTTGAACTCAGTTTCTCCAATTCCAGGACCACTGCTTTTGCCGTTACCCTATATATTTGGTGTCAGCTGCTCATTGAGTCAGGAATAAAGCAGGATGTGTATCTGATGCTCAGAAGAATTGAGTTGGAAGATGCTATTCAAATTAAACTGATATAATTTTGAAAGGTCCTTAAACAAAATCTAACTGACTGTTAAGCCAAATCCTGGTAACAGGTTTTTCAACTATAAAAGGCAATAAAGCTCTAGTTATCTAAGATCACATGCAACTGGAATTTTCATTCTTTGTTATTTTGGGTGAAACTTAAATGGAAATAGGAAGTAAGCTGCTTCCTGAAACTGAATGAGCTCTCAGAATGTTGGTGTTTAGCAGGAGGAGTCTGGGAGGCACATGGGCTGTTTCTTAATATTACTTAGCAATGATAAGTAGGAACGTTTTAATGCATCAGGAGATCCTGAAGTTAGTGATTTTTTGGACTGGGATAAAATACCGAGTGTAACTGATATAGTTTAGGATGGAGGTCATGCAGACCTTGGAGAGAATCTAATCCAGTGTTGTCATTTAGCAGTGGAGGAAATTGATATCCTCAAAGATAGGAAGCTAGTTAGTGGCAGGGCTGGGCCCAGAGCCCAGGTCTCTTGATTCTTCTCCAGGGCTCTTTATGCTAGACCAGGGCACCAGCCCAGTTTGTAATTAGGGGCCCCTGCTCCCCTTCATGTCCCCCTGAGGCCTTTCTGCCATCTGCTTTCCCTCTTTTCCCCCAGCATTGTCCCTTGTCCCAGGGACAGCTGGTCCTCGGAGCTTGAGCTCTCTGAGCCCCGGTGTTCTTCCTCACCATCCCTTCTCTCCTCCTTTAGAGGCAGATGGAGAGAGAAAGCTAGCCCAGTGTAAGGGAAAGCATCTTAGAGGAGGGCCTGAGTTCCTGTCACTCCTTTGCGTGACCTGGGCAAGTCACTTTGGCATTCTGGGGACAGACTAGATCCTATTTTCCTTTTCACCAGGCAGTTGTACTTGTACCAACCTTAAACACCTCCTGCCTCCTTATCTCTTTTAACTCCTGCCCAATTAGTTACCTTCTGGAAACTTCTCACTTCTTCTCTTCTCTTTCTCCTTCTTCCCGCTGCCTTTACTTCCCTAGATTTGCTCCATTTTTTAAAGTAAAAAAAAAAAATTCCAACTTGAATCATGGCCAAAGCAACTTAATAACTATTTGTTTCATGCTTATTATGTACAAGATGCCGGGGATACAAAAAAGCCCTGCAGGAGCTTTGACTTTTGGAAAGGGGGCCGTATATAAGTACCCTAGAAATAGTGGCATTATTGAGCGCTAGCAATTAGAGGCATCAAGAAAAACTCCTCATCACCAGGGGCACCTGATTGTGCCTTGAAGGAAGCTAAGGTTTTAGGGTAAAAGTGAGGAAGGGAGTACATTGGCTAATCAGCAAGCATTCATTAAGTGCCTGCTGTGTATTAAGCACTCTGCCTAGGAGCTAAGATTGCAAAGACAAAAATGAAATAGCCCCTGCCTTCTGTTTCAAGATATCATGTACATATAGAAATAGATACAAAATGAATCCAAAGTAACTTGAATGGAAGGGGCACATCTTGGTGGGAGGGCACGCCCCCTGGAAGTGTAGGGGTAGTGCTTGCTCAGAGCTCTGAAAGAGACTAGGGATTGTTTCTGAGGTGTCTGTGGGAGGGAGGAGTGCATTTTAGACATGAGTGGCAGCGCAAGCAAGCCACTGAGGTGGGACATGGCAGGGAGGCAGATCTGGCTCATCCTTCTTGGGTATCTGCACCGTTCGACACTCTTGGCCACGTCTTCCTGGATACTCCTCAAGGTTTGCATGAGTTTCTTCTTTTGATTCTTCTTTCATCTGTCTGATCATACCTTCTCAGCCTCCTTTGTCGGTTCTTCATCTGTAGATGTCCCCCCGGGCTTTGTTGGAGGTCTTCTCTCTTCTCTCTCTCTCATCAGCTCCCATGGATTCTGTGTAGATGATATATCGAAGCAACATTCCCAGCCACATTTCCTACATCCCCTTTCACTTGGACTACTGTGACAGCCCTCGCCAGGGTCTCCCTGCCTCAGGTCTCTCCCCACTCCAGACCGTTCTCCATTCAGCAGCCAAGGTCAGACGTGTTTGGCATTTAAAACTCTTCTCACCTTTCCAGCTTTCTCATACTTCACTGCCTTCCATGAACTGTGCACAGTCCAGCTACCCTGACCTCCTTGCTGCACCTTGAGTATAAGACTTCACCTCTCTTCCCTGTATCTTTTCACTGGCTCTCCTATGACTGCAATGCTTTGCTCCTTCCAGTGCCTCTCAGCCTCCCTGGCTTCCCTCAAGACTCTGCTCCAATCCTGTTCTTTTGGAAGTCTTTTGTGGCTCTTCCCTGGCCCTTCCCCCCTCCCCACCTAGCTGCTAGTGCAGTCCCCTCTTTATATCTTGTATGCACCTAGTTGTTTACATGTTGTGTCTCTATTAGAATGTAAGCTTCTTGAGGGCAGGGTTTGGTTTTTGCCTTTCTTTGTTTCTGCAGCACTTAGCTTAGGGCCTGCGACATAGTAAAGAGGCATTAGTAAATGCCTGACAGATATACTACAGCTTAAAATGTCCAAGAGCCAGTCCATTCCAGGTCTCTTCTTACAGTAAATGTAAGAGTCATGCTAATCTTACACCGAATCAAAGGCAAGAGACCCCGTTTTTGAAAGTGAAATCAAATATATTAAAGATTCATTGTCATCAACCTCTCAGGCAGTGAATGTTCCTGTAGGGAACCTTCTGGAAAGGATTTGTGTCCTGTACTTCTCTGGTTTGGGTTGCTTAACTCAGCAATATCTAATTGAAACATAAATCTCTTTTCAGTGTTTTTCCTTTATTGTTTAATTACTAAGCATTACAACAGTATTGTTTTCAACATTTTCTTTTTAAATGGATAACTGAATTAAATAGATTAATTAGGAAAAATTCCTGGGTTGGCCTGGAAACTCAACTCTCATTTATAATAGTATTTCTAGAGGAAAAACCATCTTGAATTTCAAACAACACATTTGCAAATAACTTTTGGATTTGAGGATGCATTCCTTTTGTAACTTGGGGACTTTCTGTCTGCTTAAGACCCTGAATCTAACTTAACGTCTCTATCTTAATTACATAAGGTTAACTTTTGGCCCTTAGTAATGTTTTCATAGGTATGGATGTCTTTGAAAAATCCTAGGTCATACTTATTTGTTTTTCTGCATTTGGCTTAGTGCTAAATATTTATATGCTTATTGAGGGCTGTCGGTTTCATGTAGTTCTTATCCCAAATCAGCACAATTAGCATGGCTGCCTTTTTTGGATGTGTCAAACATTGTGTATTATGCTGTCTACATATTTTTAGTTAAAAATTGTAAAACATTTAATTTTGTGCCTTGTTGGCACTGTTAATGAATATTCCTTAAACCTACCACGACAGTTTAAACAACACAGAATAAGGATATGTACTGGATTCAGAATTTTATTGACAAAGGAGACTCCCAAATGAGGAAACTCTTTCTACTGATGAAAGTTGGAATTTCTGGTCTTAGTTGCTGACAGCACTGAGAGTTAAGTTAAATGACATTTCTCCTAAACAATTCTGTCAACATTTGTTTTAAATATGGTACATTACTTTTTTTTTTTTTGGCTAGACAATCTAGGTTAAGTGACTTGCCCAGGGTCACACAGCTAGTAAATGTCAAGTGTCGGAGGCCAGATTGGAACTCAGGTCCTCTTGACTCCAGGGCCTGTGCGTTATCCACTGAGCCACCTACCTGCCCTGGCATATTACTCTTTAGAGCCAATTTTTGTAGCTATTTGGAGGGGTTTGGGAGAGAGCTCAAGCAAGTCACTGCTTTTACTCTGCCATCTTGGCTCTAGCCCCCCCCCCCACATATTACTCTTAAATGACATTTTTTCCTTTTTTGTGCAGATTGAATACCTGCTTAAGAAACTTACCGAAGCAATGGGGGGAGTTTGGCAGCAGGAAGAGTTTGAACATTACAAAATCAACTTTGATGCCAGTCGAGATGGCCTCTCTGCGTGGGAATTGATAGAACTCATCGGAAGTGGACAGTTTAGCAAAGGCATGGATCGGCAGACGGTGTCTATGGCAATCAATGAAGTTTTTAATGAACTTATATTAGATGTGCTGAAACAGGTAAGAGTGATTGGATTCTCCTTCTATCTTGCAATCTTTATTTTTCACAGGTTTAAAGTTGATTTTCTTTGTATTATGGTAGGTTTTCATCTTCGAGGGGTTTTAATACAGTTTTAAACTAAGTGTATTTGAAGAGAAACGTGAATGGTTCGTTTTCAAGGACTTCTGTAGAGCTTCCCCATCTAGTGAAACCTCACATTTACATTGTTGTTTCATATAATTTGTACTGCTTTTCTTGGACCCATCAAATTTCCTATGTTAATGTTATCCCAAATCAGGATTTTCTGAAATTTGTACTTTCTCTTGCCTAATGAATGCTTTTTTATTTAAGTCATCATCATTAAAAAAAAAATTCAGGTATTGAGGATGCTGTTCTGGAAATTAGGGGTGCAGAGATATAAAGAACGTGTCCCTGCCTGCTCTCCAGGGTACTCCCCACCCTCCCAACTGTGGTTTTACCACCGAGCATTGTCCCAGACCTTCTTTTCTTTTCTTTGCCCTCCTTCTCAGCCACCTCGTCACGTCATGGATTCAATAATGCGCTCTCTGAAGGTGGTTCCTGTGTCTGTGTAATCCTGCCCTAGTCTCTTTACATCGGCAGCCATTTGGACACTTCCAACTGCATATTGTGTGAGCCTCCTCAATGAAGCTTTTTCTAAAGCAAGCTCATCACCTTTCCCTCCAGACTTGCTCATGTTCTGAATTTCTTTTTTTGCAGACAGGTGCGCCCCCATCCTGGCAGTCACTCAGGTTCATAGCCTTGGAGGCAGCCTTAACTCCTCCCCCTTCTCCTGGCTTGTCCTTTCCTGGCAGTTTTCATACACAGCCCCTTCTCTGCACTCACATAGCCTGTGCCGTCTTTGGGCCGTCCTCACCTGCCCCCTGTAGGCTTCTCACTGCCCTCCCCTGTCTCCAGTCCATCTCCCACACAGTTGCCAAGGGGACGTTCCTGAAGCACATGTCTGACGGGTGCTGCTGCTGCTGCTCTGTTTGCTCTGGGGCTGCTTTAGGCTCCAAACTTGCACGCAGATTCCTTTTTTTTTTTGGCATTTAAATCCCTTCACAGTCTGGCTCTAATTTGCCTTGTTATGCATCATTCCCTTCCATGCACTCCGAGATCCAGCCAAACTGCTTTACTTACCATTAGTCACATGTGACAAATCATCTCTTGTCCCTGTGCCTTTGTGGAGGCCAGCCCCCATGCCTGGAAGGCTCTCCTTTCTCACTTCTGCTTCTTCAAATCCATTGTTTCCTTCAAGTTTCAGTGCAAGTACTGATGCCTACATGAAACTTCCTGATTCTCCCTGCCCCAGTTGCTTGGTATTTCTTTGGTATCTCTCCTGGCAGAATGTGAGCTCCTCGAGGGCACAGACAATCTCACTCACATCTTTGTGCCCCCAGTACCCAGTACAGTGTTTGGCACATAGTAAATGCTTAATAAATGTTTATTGATTGGTAACAGACTAATCAAAGACACTGGTCACACATATACCCAAAGGTAATTTATGATCAAATGAATGATGCAGACAATATATTCTTTTAGGAATCCATTCAACAACATTTATTGTCTACTTGGTACACTATGTTAGGGCCATAAGAAGTGGCAGTTAATCTAGGAATTGAGGGTTGGGGGGGATTCTGCCAGAGAAGGAGTGCTCTCTTGGCTGAGGTGTGATGGAAAAGGCAGAAATGCATGTAGTATAATTGGACAATAAGTTAGATAGACTGACCTTTCTAGAAGGAGAGGTTTGTGCTAGGGATTAGATCCCTTGAAAGCCAGGCTTAGGAGTTTGGGCTTCAGCCTGGGCCAGAAGCCGCTATCCACCCCGTCCTGGCTATTTTACGTAAGGAAGGTGAGTGATTTATGATAAGTGCAGTTCAGTCGATGAGCACCATGTGGTTGGATAGCATGGCAACTCTGATAACTAAAGAGAAAAGCAGCTGGTTCTCCAGAAACACTTACATCAGCTCTAATTTCTTTTAGGGTTACATGATGAAAAAAGGCCATAGAAGGAAAAATTGGACTGAACGTTGGTTTGTGCTGAAACCCAACATCATTTCTTATTATGTGAGTGAGGATCTGAAGGATAAGAAAGGAGATATAATGCTGGATGACAGCTGCTGTGTAGAGGTAAAGTTTCCAGTTTTTTTTTTTTTGTTAAGTTTCTGTTGGGATGATTTACTAATGCTGCCGGGTGCTGCAGTCATCTTTATTCTGGGTCTGTGTTTGCCTCTTGAAAATGGGACATGGGGAGAATGTGAAATTTTCTTTTTTTCAGAAATGTATAGGCAAACATAGTAGTGTAATGGAAGGAGCCTAGACTTGAGTCAAGAGACCCCTGGCTCCTGACTTGGTCCTAGTTCCAGCTTGGCCATGTGCTGGGTGACTTTAAACAAGTCATTGTCCTCTCTGGACCTTGTTTCCCCAAGTGTATGTGATGGGGTGGGAGACAGCCAGGTGGGGCAGTGGAAAGAGCTCCAGGCCTGGAGTCAGGAGGACCTGCATCCAGATCTGGCCTCAGACACTTACTAGTTGTGTGACCCTGAGCAAGTCACTTAACCCTGTTTGCCTCAGTTTACTCATCTATAAAATGAGCTGGAGAAGGAAATGGCAAAGCACTCTAGTATCTTTGCCAAGAAAACTCCAAATAAGGTCACAGAGAGTCAGACATGATGAAAATGATCGAACGACATCAATAATGATGGGGTTGGACAAAATATTTGCTAACATTCCTTCCCACTCTTAAAAGTCATTGAGTGCTATGAGATATTTAATTTGAATCTGATTTGGTGTCTGAAATGTTCTGTGTTGTTTGGTCATTTCCATTGTGTCCAGTTCTTCATGTCCCCATTTGGGATTTTCTTGAAGTGGTTTGCCTTCTCTAGCTCATTTTACAGATGAGGAACTGAGGCAAATAGGGTTAAGTAACTTGCCCAGGATCATGCTGAGGCTGGATTTGAACTCAGGGAGGGGAGTCTTCTTTTTTTTTTCCTCTCTTTTTTTCTTTTTTTAAATTTTTATTTATTTACTTATTTATTTTTGTTTTAGGCAATTGCGGTTAAGTGACTTGCCCACGGTCACACAGCTAGTAAACATCAAGTGTTTGGTCTGAGGCTGCATTTGAACTCAGGTCCTCCTGACTTCAGGGCCGGTGCTCTATCCACTGTGCCGCCTAGCTGCCTCCTTTAACATGTGTTTTTAAAACTTTGGGTTACAGATTTTCTCCCTTCCTCCCTCCCCACCCACCCTCATTGAAAAGGCAAGCATCTCGATACAGGTTATAGATGTGTAGTCATGCAAAACACTTCCATAGTAGTCCTGTTGTGAAAAACTATATTTCCCTTCATCCTATCCTACCCCCCATTAATTCTGTTCTCTCTTTTGACCCTGTCCCTCCTCAGAAGTGTTTGCTTCTGATTATCCCCTCCCCCAATCTGCCCTCCCCCTCTATCAACCCCCTGCTCTCTTGTCCCCGGGAGGGGCGTCTTCCTGATTCCAGCCCTGGAGCTCTAGCTGCCCCTGTGCCACCTAGCTGCCCGTTGTATGTATCAGTGATGAACTTTGAGGAAACCAAGGTGTTTTTTGACATTGTTTTCATTTTACTTCAGAATTTCAGGTCAGCCTTTTATGACTTATGTCATAAACACTTCAGGATAGGTTTTAAAAGAACTAATCGTTTGTTTTTCTTTCTAGTCCTTACCTGACAAAGATGGAAAGAAATGTCTTTTCCTAATAAAATGTTTAGATAAGACATTTGAAATCAGTGCCTCAGATAAGAAGAAAAAACAGGAGTGGATTCAAGGTAAGATAACTCCAGTAATTTGCCTTAGTTTATGCTCTTCTGAGAATATTCTGTTATGGAGGATGGCAAATATTTAGTGTTCAGGTCAGCAGTTAACATTTATTCAGTGTGCTCGAGCCAGGGATATAAAGATCTCCGAATCATCTGTCCTTGAGTATGTCGCGTGGTCATGTCAAAAAGTGCTGAGTCTCATTGGCCCCAGAGGGCAGCTCTTGTATGGCGGTGAAGGGGACGGAAGTCACAAAGAGGGGAATTTGGGCTTGGGGTCAGGAGGTACTTTCTCACCATTGGAGCTCTGCAAGTGTGGCGGTGGTGGCTTCCCTGCTCTGGTAGCCCTGGAGCAAAGGCTGGTTGGCTTCTTTTGTGTGTTATTGAGGAAATTCTGGTGGTGGGACTGGGTAACCCCCTGAGGCCCTTTGTAGATTCTGGGACGGTATTTGTCATTCTGTCACTGGTAACAGCGTGATTGATGGTCAAGATGTGTAGAGAAACCACTAGAATGTAAATTAGATTGTCATCAATCAGTAAGCATTTATTAAGCATCTGCCATATGCAAATGTAAAAGGAGCTAATCCCTGCCCTCAAGAATCTTACATTCCGTTAGGGGATACCACCAAGTCACATGAGTACCTGCCTACAGTTGGTGCACAAAATAGCGAGGGGGCAGGCCCTGACTGTTGGGGAAATCAGAAAAGGCCTCTCGAGAGATAGATGAGCTAAAGCTGAACCTGGAAGAATCAGTGAGTCAGCAGTCTGGGAGCGGCTGGGCTAGAGACAGGTGAGGAGGGGATGCGGTTTAGATAGGGGCCGGAGAGGTGAAATAGAGGGAGGAGAGATTGGGGAAGGAGGGATTATGTCAGTAGTCTGGTCAGGAAACTGGGGGAAGACCTTCTGGAGGAAGTGATAGCTGAGATAGGGAGGATTTAATCTGGCAGAGATAGGGAAAGGACAGAATGGTATCTGGGTATCAGTCTTCCTTCCGTTAGAACAGCCTGGAGGAGAGTTTGGACATCAGGCTGGGTAAGGAATTCGTCTCTTTTCTCTAGGAAATGAGAAGTCATTCTTGGATCAGAGAGGTGAGATGATCCAACTTCTGTATGAGGAACTCTGTATTAGGAAATGACTTAGCAAGCTAGGTGAGGAATGGGCTGGAGAAAGGGGAGGGGAACATGAGGTGGGGAAATTAGCCAGAAGCCCATTTGAAAAGCCTGGGAGGAGGATGGGGAGGGGGAGGAGCACTGGATTTGGAGTCCAGGGATCTGGGCTGTGCTACTCTAGTCGGGTCACTTACCTTCTCTGTTTCTTGTAAAAAAAAAAGGGGGGGAGGGGGTTGGATTAGATGGTCTCTAAGGCCCCTTCAGGCTTACATGAGCCCTTTGCTCATGTAATTCTAGGCACTGCATTATGGTGCTAATGTAAGTGGAAAGGGGAGATATGCTGGAGATGTCTGTAGAGGTAGCATTGATAGGACTTGGCATCCCCCTGCACTGGGGGTCAGGGATGAGGGGAGAGGAAGGAGTTAAAGATGATGTTACATCTTGAGCCTGGGTGTCTGGGAGAATGATGGTGTTTCAGCAGAAATGGCAGAGTTAAAAGAAGGGGGCAAGTTTTTGGGGAAAGATATTTTGGACATTGATTTCTGAAGTGTTGAGATGTCTGGATGGAGATGTCCAATAGGCAGTTGGAGATACTGGTCTAGAGCTCAGAGGAGAGCCTGGTTTGGGGATTCATTCAACAGACATTTATGAAGTACTGTGAGGTGTAGTGAGCCCTGTGCCTGGCGTGAGGGAGATGCAGAATAGACACACACATAAGCAGGAGCAGGGGCAGGAGAGAACGGTGCAAAGGCAGCGCCAAGATCTCTTCCTAAAGCCTGAGCTGCCGAACGGGAGAAAATGGATGAGAAGAGTGAGATGAAACTTGGAGCTTGGGTTCATTTTTCCTCGGTTTCTTTTACGTAATATGTTTGGGGAAATTGTGCAGAGGGAGGAATTAATCCAGAGATTTCTCTTACAACTCTCATCATCTGCAAACGATGTGGCATTCTCCTTGGTTACCTAAGCAGAAGGAAGGGGTTTATTTTGAGCTCATGGCAATAAGGAAAGCAAAAAGAGGCAAGAATGCTTTAGATTGGGAATACTTTTGGTTACCTTAAGGTCTTTTAAAAAATTTGAAATGAATCCTTCAAGAATACAAGTGAGTAAATGTTGAATAACTTCAGATGTTGCATTACTTGAAGATTTTCTGGCAGGTGTTGCTGTGGGGCTTATTCATCTGAATCAGCTGACTGCCTCCTCTTGAGACTTGATTGGAAAGGAAGATTTTGGCTTTTTTCTTCCTTGGTTTCCTGTTTCAGTTACAAAGTTCTGGGCTTTTATGGGAAAGTGAGAAGGGCTTGAGGAAAAACTGCTTAGTTGATCCTTTTAAACAGTTGTGTGGCATACCACTCTGAGGGGTGAAACCCAGGGTAGGGGGAGTCAGGAAGGTCTCCTCAATTTTTCCCAACTTCTTACCAGTCTGGGAGGAGGATGGGGAGGGATTTCTACCAGGATTTTTCTCCTAGACACCTACCTGGATCCTACAAAAAGAAACTTATGATTTTTTTTAAAGGGGAGAGGGCACTGTGGGTAATTCTGACACAGAACCCCATAATTTCAGAGTTGGAAGAGACCTCAGCAGCCTTCCCACTCAAAACGGAGCTGATTCAGAATCTCAGTTACAGGTGCAGTTAGGTGGTGCGGTGGATAGAGCCCTGGCCCTGAAGTCAGGAGGACCTGAGTTCAAATCTGGCCTCAGATACTTTGTGACCTTGTGCATGTCACTTAACCCCGATTGCCTCCTCAAAACAAAACAAAAAGAATCTTTTCCTCAGCATTGCTGACAAGTGACCATCCAGCTTCCACTTAAAAGCCATTAGTGAGGGGAGACACTACCTCCTGAGACAGCTCATTCCATCTTTGGACAACTCCTTGCATCAAGTTTAAATGTGCCTCCGCAGCTTGCACCCCTCGGTCCCTGTCCTGCCTTCTGGGGCCCAGCAGAACAAATCTGATTCCTCTTCTGCCCATCAGATGCTTTGGAGAGATGCCATGTTCCCTACCTGAGTGTCCTCCTTCTCTGATTCCTCAGGTGGCATTTATATGGCAAATTCTCTGGTCCCATCAGCCTCCTTACCTTCTTCTGGATGGGCTTTATCTAGTCAAATCAAGACTGGAAGTCAGTCTTATTTGCTTTTAGTTTATAGATTACCCTCTTTGCTTTTTCTACTCTTGGTCTCAAAGATCAGGGATGTTTATAGTCACCTCTGCTTGGACTTCCAGTACCATAAGATATATTACTTTTCAGTCTGGTGACTTGAGACAGGCATTCAGTGTTATTAGGTACTCTTTTATGAATTAATGAATGAATGAATGAATGAAAAGGCATTTTTAAGGGTTTACTACTAGATACCAAACACCGTACTAAACACCAGAACACAGATACAAAAGCAAGATGGCGTCCTCAAGCAGCTTCCATTCTAGAGGGGAAACAATGCACAGAAGGGAATGATGGCCAGGGAAGGTTACTTTGAAAGGTTAAAGGGGGGAGTTAATGAATAGGGCATTAGGGGAGTAGATTGCTATACCCCTGTCTCATTTATTTTGGGGTTCGTTTTCTTCTTAACCACTTTGGTCATTCCCAGTCCGAAGAAGAGAAAATAGAATATTTCTTTTTAGGAGAGAAAACAGATTATTAAGCATAGAGTTGATGGCAGTATAAAGGAATGTGAACATTTTCTGTTACAGAATCAGATAGGATTGCATGCTGTTGGAGATGCTGTTTAGTTTTTATCCTTGGCAGGAGTATATGAAGGGAGGTGTCTCCTTTAAGTACAAAGTGAAGAAAATCTAGGAGATTAAATCTAGAAGAGCAAATCAGATGTCACAGCTCCTTTCGCTGCCCATGCTGGGACCAGGGCTTCTGCCAGCCTCCTTTCCAAGGGCTAAGGGAACAAAGGAATGCCTTAGATTCTTACTCTGGGGGAAGTAATGAGTAAGAGATATTACCGTGCACAATTAAAGTGTCAGTATAACAGAGAATAATGATTATTCTCCTTCTCTTTTTCCTTTCTGAATGAAAACACTTTCTAGCCATTCATTCTACTGTGCAGTTGCTGAAGCTGGGCAGTCCCCCCCCTCACAAAGAAGCCCGCCAGAGACGAAAGGAGCTGAGGAAGAAGATGCTGGCGGAGCAGGAGGAGCTCGAGAGGCAAATGAAGGAGCTCCAGGCTGCCAATGAGAACAAGCAGCAGGAACTGGAGCAAGTGAGAAAGGTGGGCCTGTTTGATCAGTGGGGTCCTGGACTTGGGGTCAGGCCTGGGCTGAAACCTGGCTCTGTCATTCACTAGCTTCATGACATTGAATGAATCATTCCCCCCCCCCAGGCCTCAAACTTCTACTGAGGGTAGGGAGAGTTGCCAAAAGGGCTTGCTGGTCAACCTTGTCTACAGCAGACACAAGCAGGGCAGTGTACAAGGGCAGCTGCCTATGTCAGATTCCACAAGTTAAGGATCTCTGCACAGTGAGACCATGTTATTGACCTGAGAGGTTGACCTCAGGGCGACAAAAAGTTTTTATTTAACCTGTACTCTGTGCCAGGTACTGAGCTAGGTACTAAAGATATAAAGAAAGACAAAAAAAAAAAAAAGTCCCTACCCTTAGGGAACTTAACTTTTAATGAATCAACCTACAAATAACTAGGTCCATATAAGATGGATTGGGTACATGGAAAGTAAGGCTTTAGCAGCTAAGGGGGCTGGGAAAGGCTGCCCAGAAGAGGGAGGCTTTGTGCCTGATATGTCATTTAGAAAAAGTTACCAGGGCTGATTTGGGTGGAGACCATAGTGTGGCGTGAATAAATACATCTCTTGTTTCTAGTCCATCTTTCAGTAACTTACTAAGAATCGATATGCATGCTAATGTGTTGGGCCTTCATTTTGGTTTCCCAGACAGTGGTGTCTTTTGATGTAATATTTGCCTTCTTTTCCTCAGCTCCCAACTCCTCACCTGTACTACAGAGGGGGCTTTTTTCTTTGATTTCCTTTAGAAATCTCTCAGCTGAGGAGATTCTCCTGACTTCATCCCGTTGGCCTTGCAGACACCATCGTGTTTTTCTCCATTCTTGTCTGTGATTTTCCGGCATCAACCTTTTCTTTCCCTGGGCCCTTAATATTCCATTATAAGAGCCAGCCACTTATGCAGGAAGCTTATAAAGCCAGCAGCTTCCTTAATATAAAACACATGGGGGCAGCTAGGTGGCGCAGTGGATAGAGCACCAGCCCTGGATTCAGGAGGACTTGAGTTCAAATCCAGTCTCGGACACATAACACTTATTAGGTGTGTGACCCTGGGCAAGTCACTTAACCCCATTGCCTAGCCAAAAAATAAATATAAAACACATGCACTTCTTAGCAGGCCTTCTGACCCGTGACACCGGCTACGTAGGTGTTGCCCTAGAGTGCGCCTGTGTGGTGCGCTCAATCAGTGAGCATTTAAGAGACACCTGCCACAGGCTGGACACTGATCCGGAGACAGAAGTGAAACAGCCCTGTCCTCAAAAGCTTCCTTTCCCTTAGGGGAGAGAACACACACATAAATAAGGAAACTTAGAATGCATACAAAATAAACGTAAGAGTAATTTGGGGTAGAAAGGCATGAAGAGCACTGTAGCCCTTGCTTGGTGATTCCCTGTCTTCAGGGTCATTGGACTTTTAGAGTTGAAAGAGATTTTCAGGATGATCTAGTTCAACCCTCTTGTTTTACAAGTGAGGACATTAAGAGATCAGGTGACTTGCCCAAAGTCAAAGTGGCAGATTTAGGATATTAGGGAGAAGTATTGGGAAATTGGTGTAGATTCCATAATGGTCTTAAAATTTTGGTTTAAAAAAAAAAACAAAAACCAAACAAACCATCAACCTTATAAGGCTCCGTGAAAGCTATTCTGAAAAACATAATGATTAGGTAAATATGGGGTCACACTTATTTTAATTTCATAAAATTTGACTGAGAATTTAATTGCTTAGTTGAAGGAATAAGAAATCCTAAAGAATCAGACTGTTAAAATGGATGCTTTTAGAGAAATCTAAGTGATTATCCTCAGCTAGGTGGTGCAGTGGATAGACTGCTAGTCCCAGAGTCAGAAAGATTCATCTTCCTGAGTTCAAATCTGGCCTCTGACACTAGCTGTGTGATCCTGGGCAAGTCACTGAACCCTGTTTGCCTCAGTTTCCTCTTCTGTAAAATGGTCTAGAAAAAGAACAGGCAAACCGCTGCAGTGTCTTTGCCAAGAAAATCCCAAATTGGGTCATAGAGAGTCAGACGTGATTGATTGTGGGCTGAGAGCTCTGGAGGCCGCTGCTGTCAGTCAAGTCACCCCCCCCCCCCCCCCCCCCAAGGACTGTTACTGGCTTGCAGGGGTACTGGATTGTGCTCCACTCTCACCCTAGTGAGACAAACCTTTTCTTCTGACCTAAGTTATCTTAGGCTAAAGACTTGTTTTACCCGGTCCTTTTGTTGGTTCTGCCATTCCAGAATTCATTTTGAGGCATTATTTTAAAGTTGTTCAGAGGGGAGTTTGGGAGAGCTCAGGTGAGTCCCTGCCTGTACTCTGCCATCTTGGCTCTGCCCTCTCTTTGGAACCCCTGTTAGTCCTAGGCCTACTGGTTGTCCAGTAGACTTGTCAAACTCAATATGCCCTAAACAGAACTTAGGTTACAACCAAAAGCTGTGGCTCCTGGTTATATCCTCTGGGGCCAATAAATCAGTCAACAGACATCTATTAATCATATATACCAGGAACTGTGCTAAGTGCAGGGGATATAAACAAAAAGCAGAAACAGCCCCTGACATTCAAGAAGCTTATGTTCTAATGAAGGAAACAACATATACACAAAACAGAACAGGTCCCACCCCTTTCCATATATCCGTTCTAGTATTCTGATTTCCTTCAAATACCTGAAAACAGCTCTCATGTTCCAGCTGAAGTTTTCTCTTCTCCAGGCTTTCAGTCACTCCTCATATGACATGGATTTGAAGGTCTTCACCATCCTGGTTTGTCCTCCTCCGGGTACTGCCTAGCTTTTCAGCTTCCTCATTAAACCGATGTTTATTAAGAATAGAACGTTTACCACTGGCAAGTTCAAGGGGATTGTCACCCCTTTATTCCTGGGCTGCTGCCATCTATGAAAACCCTCAGATCTTTTAAAGACAAACTGCTTTCCAGCCACGGCCGCTCCCTTCCTGTAATTGTGAACTTAACTCTTTTGAACCCACACATATGAAAACTAGAACCTGAAACATTTTGTGAATTTTGTAGCTCTCCTGATCACCCCCAGGAGCCACAGCTTCATGTTTCTGTATAGTTTAGCTGCCTCATGCAGATTATGTGTCTTGGAGGCGGAGAAGTTGCATTTGTGGATAGAGAGCATATCAGTCATCTTTCTGTTGTTGCACCGGCAGTGACCACAAAAGAGGAGGGTTCTTTCTGCCTGGGACCGGCTTACTTGTTCAAATAGCCATTTGCATTTCAGGTCCCTGCCAGCCATGAGCAGCAGAAGTAGTTTATAAACAGCCTTTCCCTTCCAGGGCAGTCACGACACAACCAGTAGCTTTTTCTTTTTTTTGCTTCCAAGGGCACTATCAGCCATGCTCAAAAGCCTTCTGTGGTCGAAAGGATAAAATGCAAAGTTTTCTGCCTGGCACTTGGCCCTCTGCCATCTGGTGCCGGTTTGCCTTTCCAGCCTTATTTTACACCAGTTCCCCTTATATCCTCTACATACACAAGTAGGTGCTGCACTCTCTCGCCCTCCCTTCCTTCCATGCCTTTGGGCAGAGCACCCTCCTTACCTGGAATACATGACCTCTTCACTGACTCCGCCTGTCGAACTATTCTTTTTAAGGCTCAGGTCAGGCCCTACTTCCTCCATGAAGCCTTCTTTGAAGATCATTTTCAGGAACAAAATTTTCCCCCTTAAGTTTTCCCAAAACACTCTATCTGGACCCCTCCTTTGTCCTCGTAATATATTACATGTCACCTTATGTCGTCCTTATTTTGTAGACATGCTGTATTCTCCCTTCCCTCTCCCTCATCCTCCATTAAATTTTATGTTCTTTGAGGGGAAGGGCTCTTGTAATTTTTCATTTATTGTTTCTCCAATATCCAGAACATGGATTTGCACAGGTAGTATTTCTTGAGTTAAACTGGATCACTCCTTGATAGTTTTACGTGTGCAGGAAAATAAATGGCAAATGTAGTGTCGGCTTACAAAGCGTCACAGAGTTTGAGAGTTTGAAGGTGGTCTCGGAGACCAGTTAGTCTAACCCAGAACTGAATAAGAATTCTTCTTTGACAGGACCAGCTGGCTGGGGACAAAAGAAAATGGGCTTAGAGAGCAAGGGTTTCTTTCTGCCATGAGAAAGTGAATTAACATTAGTGACAACATGGCTGTTTTTGTTTGTTTTGTTTTTGTTTGCTGGGAAACAGAACCTTGGGACGACGGTACGGGAGAGAATGGTGGATGAGAAGAAGCATAGTTTGTGTTTGCCATAGCTGTAATTTTCTACTTTTCTATGAAAATGAAAGAAGGAAATCAGGGAATTTTATTTTCTGAATTACTTGATTGAGAGAGGGCAGAAATGTTTGTTATATTATCTTGTATTCCGCTCAACCTTCTTCAAGGCTTCTGGGTGTTGTGATATCACTTTCTATATTTAAACATCTTTTGGCAAATTTTTTAAAGTTTAGATGGTTAGTGATATTTAAGTGGTAACACCAGAGAACTTCAAAAATAGGCCTTACTCTTGGTTTTTTGTTCATATGCTTGTGGTTGGTTAATATAAGTCATTATTTCATTATTTGTAGACATGAGGAAAAAAAAACAACCACCTGTTTCTGTGGTTTAAAAACCTGTATGCTTACCTTATCACTCATGTTGCTTTGCACTTACGGGTAAAGTTTTAAGGAAGAGTTGTCCTTGGTACTTTCCTGTAAGTTTGTGGAACTTAGAAAGATAGCTTAAGGTAACTTTGTTTCTCTGAATCTGCGTTAACAGAACTAGGATCACTAAACAAACTTTGGGCTCATAGAATTGTCACCTTTTGGAGCTGGAGAGGGCCTTAGGCTAGTCCATTTTTGGTTTATCAGAATGAGCTTCTTAGGGGGCAGCTAGGTGGCGCAGTGAATAGAACACCAGCCCTGAAGTGAGGAGGACCTGAGTTCAAATCCAACCTTAGACCAAACACTTGACACTTACTTGCTGTGTGACCCTGAGCAAGTCACTCAACCGCAATTGTCTAAAAAACAAAAAAAACAAAAAAAAACCAGAATGAGCTTCTTGGTTCATTTGTTTGTTCATTGGGTGCCTTCAGTGGTTAATGGTGTACCAGTTAAAATTTCTTGTGGTTGGCAAGAAGGAAATAAAAATAAGTACACACACTGGGCCGCTAGGGGGCGCTATAGTGCACAGAGTACCAGGCCTGGAGTCAGGAAAACTCATTCATCTTCTAGAGTTCAAATCTGGCTTCATACGCTTACTAGCTATGTGACCCTGGGCAAGTTACTTAACCCTATTTGCCTCAGTTTTCTCATCTGTAAAATAAGTGGAGAAAGAAATGGCATACCGCTCCAGGATCTCTGCCAAGAAAATCCCAAATGGGGTCATGAAAAGTAGGACATGACTGAAATGATTCAACAACAAACACACACAAAGCAAGTGAGAGAGCTTAGTTAATGGTAATTATACGTCATATTAATATAGTGCTTTGAAGTTTGAAAATTGAAGAATTATTATCTCCATTTTCTAGGTAAGGAAATTCAGATGCAGAGAGGATAAGTGACTTTGCTAGAGTCAATGTCAAAGCTAGGAATCAGAGGCAGGTCTCCTAATTCAGTGTCTAGTATTCTCTGTGCTATACTATTCTTCCTTCATTAAATATATACGGTATTTAAGCATGTTTATTGATATCTTTTGTTTTATATCACTCTCTACTTTCCAACATCCGTCCCTCACCTAGTCATCCCTTCTAAACAAGAATAAAAAATACAGTTAAACCACACATCAAGTCAAATACTATGTTGAAATGTACCACACACATCGTCTCTGCAAAGAAGGAAGTAGGCACATTCTCGTATCTCTTTTTTGGGGGCCACGTTTGGTGATTATAATTCCACAGCATTCACTTTTTATGGTTCTTTCCATTTGCATTATTGACTTGGAGATTGTCATCCTTAAATCTCCTGGAGGTATCCCGGAGCCTTGTTCCATTGTAAGTGTTGAACTCTTCACTGTCCTCTTGGTAGAGAACTGTCGGCCCTGCCATCGCTCCCCAAATCCCTTGGGCCTTGCAATTTACATAGCAACTTTACCTGCCGGAGGACTTTCTGGCGTTTCCATCTGCCATGAACTGAACACAAGCAAGAACCTTCCTTCATGTGCTGTCTTTCCCAGTTAGAATGTGAGTTCCTTGAGAGCAAGATCTGTCTCCATTTTCTTTTTATGTCCACAGTGCTTTGTATGTAATAAATTCTTAAATGCTTTTCCATTCCATTCCAAATCACAATTTGTTTAGCCATTTCCCAATCATTGGGAATCTACTTTATTTTCCATATGTTTGCTACTACAAAAGGTGCTGCCATAAATATTTTGGTGTATATGGAGCCTTTAGACCATACACCTCAAGGTGATTTTTCTATAGAAATAATGTTTCTCATTTTAAAAATTTATTTATTTATTTTTGTGAGGCAGTGGGGTAAAGTGACTTGCCCAGGGTTACACAGCTAGGAAGCGTCAAGTGTCTGAGGCCAGATTTGAACTCAGGTCTTTCTGAGTCCAGGGCCGGTGCTCTATCCACGGTGCTCTATGCCATCTAGCTGCCCCCGAAATAATGTTTTTTAAAATAAATGTGTTATCTATAAAGGAAAACATCTTCATAAGAATAGGCACATTTTAAAAATGAATTTTGCCAGGAAACCATTGTCAGAATTTTGCATCTTTTCAATTTGATGATAACTAGCTTAGGAAAGGGAAGTATATCCTGTATCACATCTCAGTGAGCCTGCTGCTTCACTCTTTTGGCTGGTTTGGCTAGACTGAAGTTCATCTGAAAAGATCTGGGTTTTTCAGTGGATTATACGTTTAATATAAATCACTAAAAAGGCAAATGTAGACTTGGACTTTATTGAGAGAAGCATAACGCACAGAACTAGGAAGGTGATAAGTCTCAGTGTACTGTGCTCTGCTCAGAGTATAGTTGGAGTGCTTGTGTTGTTAGGAAGACATCTGCCACAAGACGATCGGTTAAAAGAAATGGAGATATTTAGTACACTTGGGGCAAGATAGATGTCTTCTCTCACGCAGAAGGGAGATTAAGCCTGTTTTGCTTTTTATTAGTTCTGCTCTCTAGAGCCAGTGAATAGAAGCTAAGAAGAGGCAGATTTAGATGTGATATAGCTTTCTGGAAGGAAAAACTATGTAAGCATTCGAACTGTTCAAAAGTGGAGTGAGCTGCCTCATGAGGGAGGAGGGTCTCCCTTAGGCAGAGTCAGAGGAATGGCTTGTTGGGAATATTGGCCCGGGGAGTCCTGTGCAGGCGTGGGCTGGACCACATGATCTTTGCACTTCTCTGCTGAGTTAACCATCAGATTGGTGGGGAGACACTTGAAAATGGTAGCTATGGCCACGTCAAGAGTCATCAAGCAGTTTTTAAGAAGTTCTGCTTATGCTTACGTACTCTCCTGTCCCCTTTCTCATCTCTAGCCCTGGGAATAATCAATGAGTGCTACCATTGCATCTAGGACAGTGGATTGTCCTACGGCTCTACTCACCATTCCTGTGACTCCCTGGGGAAAAAACCTCCCTTCATTGACCACCATTCCCTTATGTGTATTCTCTCCCTCATTAGAATGTAAGCTTCTTGAGGACAGGGACTACTTCTGTTTTGTCTTTGTATTCTCAGCACCTAGCGCAGAGCCTGGCACATAATAGTCCATAATTAATAAATATTCATTCCTTCATTCATTCATTCATACATGAATGCCTGACCATACTTGTGAAGTTATATTCTATCTCCTCTGCAGAGGTAGTCATTAATCTGCAAATAGCCACTTTCTTAAGTTGAATAATAATTTTGTGCCAGGTGAGTATTTAAAAGTATTGGTTTGGTTTACTTTCATATCTATTATCCTCTTAGAGATAGAAGGTTTAGGAGTTAAAAATCCTGTGGTTTGTTAACTTTTTAAAAGATTAATTTGCAAGGCAATGTTACCTCATACCTGGCAGTTTTCAGTCTTAGCATAAGAACTTATGTATGAAGTAATTTCCTCTTCAAGGAAACTGCTTTTCCCTTTCTTCCAACACAGTAACAGGATAGAGTTTTTCTTAGAAAAATGTTATGCTTTTATTGATGATTAATATTCAACCTCATTTACTAGGATTATAAAGGGCATGATGTTATGATTAGCAGGTCTGTCTATTAGAATAGAAAGAAAGAATGCACCCAGTTCTTAAGTAGAAGTTCAAAAAGGATGATTTTCTCTATTTTTCAGACTTGGAACATTGAAGCCCTGTGATTTATGAGGTCGCTTAGATGTTCTGCAGTGTATTTAAGTAGTCCATTAGAAACAGTGTGGATGGTATTGCGGTTCTCCAAATTTGTGTGTAATTGGTCAACTTAGTTTTTTGTTCTGTGTTATTTTTGCTCAACTACACAGAAACTGGAAGAAGCGGCATCTCGTGCTGCCGAAGAGGAGAAGAAGCGTCTTCAGACTCAAGTGGAGCTGCAGGACAGGTTTAGCCTGGAGCTGGCAAGAGAGAAACTAGTGAGAATCACATCTGGATAAAGATGGAGCATTTTTTGGTCTTCCGCCCACCAGGGTGGTACTAGGGAAGGGGGACCAGCCCTGTGTCCTGACAAGTGGACATACCTTTTCAGATTTCAGTGAGGGGCTTGACTAGATCATTTTCAAAATCCGTTTTAACTCTAAAATTCAATGACTGTTACCCCTTATTTTCCTTCTTCTCCCTACTTCCCCCTCCCCACATTTTCTTTTTCAAATGAAAAGGGTGTGGGTCAGTGGAATCATATGCACATCTGGGTCATTGTCTTCCATCGGCCTGGCCAGCTTCATTCTTGTTGGAATGTCTTATCCTCTTACTAAGGAACATTGACCCAACCAGAATTAATCAGAAATATAGGCCTCCTAACATATCTCCTTCCCTAAGGCAGTTTCTCATTGTTTGGAATGAAAGAAGCTGTGATTGGAGGTGTATATAAGACAAAAGAAGGCGAGGGGTGGGGGGCTCTCACAGATGGCTGAGGGGCTGTTAAATTTCTTTCAAAAGATTTTGTTTATTTAGCATTTTATTTTTCCCCCAGTTACATGTAGAAACAATTTTTAACATTCATTTTTATAACTTTGAATTCCAAAATTCCCTCCCCACCCCACCTCATTGAGAAGGCAAGCAATTTGATACAGTTCAATTTTGTAATAGTCATGTTGTGAAAGAACACATGGGCAAAAAAAACCCAAAAACCTCAAGAAAAGTAAAGAAATTAAAAAAAAAAAGTATGCTTCAGTCTGTATTCAGACTCCATCAATTCTTTGTCTAGGGATGGATAGCACTTTTCATCGTAACTCCTTCAGATTTGTCTTGAATCATTGTATTGCTGAGAATAGCTAGGTCGTTCACAGCTTATCATCTTACAATATTGCTGATACTTCGTACAAAGTACATTTCACTTTGCATCAGCTCATGTAAGTCTTTCCAGGTTTGTCTGACAGCATCCTGCTCATCATTTCTTATAGTACAATAATATTCCATCATAATCACATACCACAATTTGTTCAGCCATTCCTCAGTTGATGGCATCCCCTCAATTTCCAATTCTTTGCCTCCATAAAAGAGGGGCTATAGATATTTTTGTACATATAGGTCCTTTTCCTTTTTTTATCTCTTTTGGGATATAGACCTAGTAGTGGTATTTCTAGATCAAAGGGTATGCATGGTTTTATAGACCTTTGGGCAGAGTTCCAAATTGCTCTACAGAATGGTTGGATCAGTTCACAACTTCACCAACAGTGCATTAATGTCTCATTTTTCCCACTCCCCTCCATCACCTGTCATTTTCCTTTTCTGTTCTACTAGCCAATCTAATAGATATGAGGTAGTAGCTCAGAATTGTTTCAATTTGCATTTGAGAGGCTGTTATCTTTAGGGTTTCCTTTTCCTTCAAGTTTCAGGCTTCTGGTTAAACATCTTTGATTTTAGTTGAAGAGAGGCCATCCAGATGATCTGGTCCCACTTCACTGCTAGAGTCTGCCTATTAGCGTTGGAGGTGTACTAGGCTGGGGAGTGATAGCCTAATGCCTGTAGTCCATGGGAGCCAGAAGGGATAGAAGAGAAAGAGAGAGAGAGAGAGAGAGAGAGACAGACCGGGTGAAATGGAAAGGGGGCAGGGACTGAGAAAGGAGGGCTAAGTAGGCCCTTTATCCTCCCTCCCTCCCTCCTAAAACACTCAGTAGTCAGTCAGTTGGCTGAGCTTTACTCTTTAACCCTTTGCTTGCCTTGGAAAGGACCAAGGTCATTCCACTTAACCCTTTACTGGCAACCAGTAGTTGCTTGCAATGCATAAAAAGTGTTTAAGGGAAGGAGATTTTATAGGGAAATTATTTTTGATTATAGGAAGGAACTTTTTTAGAGGGATGGGCAAATTAGAATACTTATATTTGATTCTGAATTCTCAATAATTTTTAGATTAGAGTGGGATATCCCTTTTTTGAAAGGCTGCCCAATGGTGGTTTTATCATGAGGGGAGGATGGGCAGAGTGGCATTCTAGGGGATGGGTCTTGTCAGCGAGGCCCCATCTTCTGGGGTGGAACTTTTTTTTTTTTTTTTTTCAAATTTTTAACATGTGTTTTTAGAACTTTGGGTTACAAATTTTCTCCCTTCCTCCCTCCCCACCCACCCTCACTGAAAAGGCAAGCATCTCGATACAGGATATAGATGTGAAGTCATGCAAAACACTTCCATAGTAGTCCTGTTGTGAAAAACTAAGTATATTTCCCTTCATCCTATCCTACCCCCCATTTATTCTATTCTCTCTTTTGACCCTGTCCCTCCTCAGAAGTGTTTGCTTCTGATTATCACCTCCCCCAATCTGCCCTCCTCTCTATCATCCCTCTGCTCTCTTGTCCTCTTCCCCCCCTTATTTGCCTGTAGAGTGAGATAGATTTCCATGCCCCATTGAGTGTGTATGTTATTTCCTCCTTCAGCCAAATCCTATGAGAATAAGACTCGCTCATTCCCTCTCACCTTCCCCCATTTCCCTTCCACTGTGAAAGCCTTTTCTTGTCTGTTCACGTGAGATGATTTATGGGGTGGACCTTTCAGATCTTCTCATTTAACCCCATTAGATCCGGCAGCAGATGGAAGAGCAGGTTGCCCAGAAGTCGTCTGAACTGGAGCAGTATCTGCAGAGGGTCCGAGAGCTTGAGGACATGTACTTAAGGCTGCAGGAAGCTCTGGAAGATGAGAAGCAGGCTCGGCAAGATGAAGAGACGGTTAGGAGGCTTCAGGCCAGGTGCTGGCTCATTCCACTTCATGCTCTCATAAGTTTTCTCATTAGCCCAACCAAAAAAGGGAGCACAGATTCACAACTCGTTTAAATGAGAAGTCAGTTTTAATGCAGGAGAAGCACTAACAGGTTATCCATTATTTCTTTGGAATCTCCTTCCAGTCTCTGTCTAGTCTCATGAATACATACACACGTGCATTTTTAGTCTCTGAAGCAACTCTTAGACACTATAAATTACTGAGAAGTTGCTTCTTTGCATCAGTGAAGAGAGTTTCAGCTGAGGGAGTTTCCTGCACTAACAAAATTACAAGCTCAGACCAGGCAACTCCCTACAACCAATCTCTGCTTTTAGCCACTCTGGTCTTCTCTGATTCCTCCCTGGGTCTCAGAGATGATGCTGGCTTCTTAAAACATCTGCTGGTGGCCTCTAGGCTTCTGACGCTCCTATAGGCTTGGCTCCTGTATAGACTGTGGGATGTGTCTGTTACCTGAGACCAAACCTACCTGAATACAGGGGGGCTCATCACCAGAAAGTGGGGCATATGAAGCCCCTTTCAGAGGGTGGGGCAGGGCTTTGATCTGGGATCGTGGAGGGAGCCAGGAACCTTCTGAAGTATTCCAGCAGCCCTCCGCTGGAGCTTGACTGTGCCTCGGATGTATGTTGCCTCTCTTTAGATTTATTTACCAGTTCATATTATATACTTCAAGTTCTCATATCCTAAGTTCATAGCTGCCCGAAGATGTCTGACATTGGCACTGATGCCATGGATGAAATGCGTATGCCTTGGGGAACTTTATTGCCTGGGAGGCCAGGCTGGCTTCAGCTGAACTCTGGGCCAAAGGCTGCCTCTAAACAGTGGCCTTGAGGAGAATTGTGGCCATTTCTGTTGTTCTCAGGGCAGACAGCTTGGGAAGGAAGAAGTGATGTTGTTTTTTGGGCTGAAGTCTGCACTGGAGACTTGAGATCTGTCCTGATTACATGTAGAGTATGGTATCCAGTTCTGGGGCCAAGTTTTAGCAAGATTGAATAGGGACTGAAAGCTTTTTTAAGGACAGGTTGAAGGAAGTAGAAATGTTAAAAATGCTCTCAGAACCTTTACTTGAACATTCCATCCCCTTAAGCCATTCACCTTATCTTTCCCTTCTCTTTCTCGAAGTCAAACTCCTAGAAAAATCTGTGCTAAGTAGTAAAAAAAAAAAAAAAATCATCCCTTTTTTTGGGGGGGGGGGGCAATTGGGGTTAAGTGACTTGCCCAGGGTCACACAGCTAGTAAGTGTCAAGTGTTTGGTCTGAGGCGGATTTGAACTCAGGTTCTCCTGACTTCAGGCCTGGTGCTTTATCCACTGCACCACCTAGCTGCCCCAGAAATCATTACTTTCAAGGTAGAAGGTGATTCCTCTTCAGCTTCAGGAGGAGGGCAGGGCGGGGAGGGACCTAAAGTGAGGCCCAAACCAGATTAAAGTGTGATTGGGAAATGCCTGGCAAAATAAAACAACACAACACGACACAGACAAGAATTTAGCTCATGTACAAGAGAAGATTCCTTGGTAGTTAAGGTTGCTTGAGAAAGGTGACTGAGGGAATCCCCTTTATGGAATTTTAAAATTATTCTCTAGATCATCTAGTCTGACCCTTTCATATGGAAGAAACTGAGTTCCCAGAGGGGAATATTGAGTTAATGGAGGAGCCAGGACTAGAATTTGAGGGTCCTGAGGTCCAGACCTGCCTTCCTTCTGCCATGCTGTCATGAGTGGTCTTCTGGAAGGAGGGGCCTGCATTAGGTAACCTGTGAAGTTCTTTAAGCTGATTATTTTCTATTGTAATAAGTTAATCGTAACTTACAAGGCCAAGCTTATAGTTTATTTCAAAAAATTTTTTTGTTTAAACTACATTATATTTATGGATTGTAGGTTACACTTGCAAAAAGAAAAGATGTAAACAAAGTTGGAAGGAAAGTTAAACGTAAACAAAGTCTTTCCAGCTTTACTGCATCTTGCAGAAGGAGCTGGCCGCTTCTGTAGAAGGCAGAGTGTTCCCTTATTAGAAGGCAGATGTGTTTACAATGGATAGCTTACAAATTAGATGGGGCAGGTTTTGGTTAGCCAGTACCATAATATTCTCATAGATGGCTTCTCTTTGAAAAATGCTGTCTTTAAAACCCCTCCAAAAAACTTTAAATAATGCCTCAAAACAAATTCTGGAGCCTCAGAACCCGCAAAAGGATGGGGTCAAACAATTTTCCAGCCCAGGACAAGTTAGAAGGTCAGCAGGAAAGGTCTGTTGCACCAGGGTGAGATTGGAGCTCAGTGCAGTGCAGACCACACCCCAGCAAACCAGCAAGAGGCCTTGGGGGTGATTCAGTCAGTGACGGCAGTGGTGGTTTCCAGACCTCTCTGCCAGCAGAGGGGATTAGACAACTAGTCAGAAGGAGATTACAGGGGTCCCTTTGCTGGCATAATAGGACTTTGTTGCATTGCTCATATTTAGATCTGGGTCGCAGTGATGGGTCTCAGTTCCAGGGTGAGGAGGAGCACTAGCATACCAGAGCTTGTGGCTACAGGGGAGCTGGGACCCTGGTCACAGATCCAGGGTGAAAAAGGGTGCTTGTGGTCACTCACAGACCAGAGCCCAGGCCAGGAGAATGGTAAACACACCTCTCCCTAGGTCATACCACCTCGGAAGAACCGAAAACTTACAGGTCCCCAGAATCATCTCTGAAGCAGCTGCACAAAAAACCTGGAGCTTGGGACAGTGTCCCTTTCATTCCGGAAACAGAGCCCAACTTGAGCAGAGTTAAAAGTCAAGAAACAGGCAGGAAAAAGGAGCTAACAGCAGAAAAATGTGTTCATCTTTGCTTGCTTCATCAGTACTTGTACTAAAATTGGAATGATGCAGAAGAGATTAATATGGTCCCTGTTTGAAGATGACACAAATTCATGAACCATTCCACATTTTTTATCATAGGTATCACATTTGTTGTCATTTCAGTGGGTGAGGGAGAGAGAGAGAGAGAGAGAGACTTTGGAACGGAAAATCAAAATAAAATTAGAAAATAAAATATAAAAAAAATTTTCATTAAAAAAATGCAGTCATCTATATGTAATAAGCTTAAAAATATTAGCTGGTCCAATGTGATCTCTGCAGGAAATAAGAGTTCAATTCCATACGATCCAAAAAATATTTCCTCTTGGCCTTGTGTTCAGGCTTCATCAGTACTTAAGTGCACTTGTGGTCTCTTTGGTTTGGGGACCTCCTACATTAAACCGATTGGCACCTTCTTATCTTGGCATTTCTTGTCCATGCCCTCCCAACAGAAGGTCCATTCAACATATTGGGGGCCTTTCTTTAGATTTTTTAAGATTATGTGAGTATCAGTACACCCCAAGGGCTATTAACCTGTTAGCTTTTGCTTTCTGTGATTGGCCCATATTTCCTGGACTTACATTTCTTGGATGATAAGATTTGCACTTCTTGCACCCACTCCCGTCATTGGTAACATGCTGCGGCCCACATCTGACAACCACATCTCCCTTTTGTCCTTTGGTGATCTGCAGTTTTGATTCTTCAAATAATTGTCATGTCACATAATTAGAAGCCATATAGCAACACCCTAAGAATATTGGTCTTAAAAAAGTTGGGTTTTTGTTTCAGGGAGAAGCTTGGGGTCTTTGGAAATGCTTCACTGTTCCCACGTTCAGTGCAATTCACTCTCCTCCTTCTCTTCAATTTTGGGCATGGTTTATTGTCCAATTGCAGTGCCCATGTAAGGTGCACAGACCAGTGACACAGCTGAATAAGCTTTCCCTCCACCCGTGCATATCAGTGTGCATATCAGAGGATCGGTGATAAGCATTTGTTATCTGCTTGGTTTCAGCTCATGAAACAAAGGCATACTGCTGAATGCAATAAATGCTATTTGTTGATGGTGATGATGATAAAAATCAAGGAAATAAGCTTTTTTCCCTTGTGGCTGGGCTTATTTTTATCCTAATTGCCCATGTTGAGTGGTTAAATTGCCATTTGCAAGGTTGCCAAATAAGATAATTCCAGGATGGGTAAATGTTGGCTTAACTGTAATTCATGTGAAAAAAAGACCTCAGAGTTTTATTGGATTGCAAGCTTAGCGTGTGCCAGTTAATGTGATCTCGAGATACAATGCCCAGAGTGAGGGAGAGGAAGGCAGGGCTCGTATCCTGTAGTCTGGACCGAGCATTCCTGGAGTGTCTTTCTGGGCACCACATTTCTTTCTTTCTTTCTTTCTTTCTTTTTTTTTTTTTTTGGCTAGGCAATGGGGTTAAGTGACTTGCCCAGGGTCACATAGCTAGTAAATGTTATGTGTCTGAGGCTGGATTTTGAACTCAGGGCCTCCTGACTCCAAGACTGGAGCTCTATCCGCTGTGCCACCTAGCTGTCCCAGAGGACATTGGAGAGCTGGAGGGTGTCCAGAAGAGACTGAGAGCCATGTGATATAAGGAGCAGCTGAAGAGCTGCGGCCACTAGGAAGGGACTCTGAGGAGGAGGGGGAATCTTCCTGAAAGCCTTCAGAGGAATGTAGGACTCCACATGTGCGTTCTGCCTAGTGACCCTGTGAGGGAGGTGCCGGTACAAGAAGGGGTGGCTGTACACCGCTTGGCCCAAAGAGAGAGCTCGGGCCAGGCTGGAAGTGATTGGCAGGTGTGTTTTTGGCTTAACACAAGGATAGACTTTCCAACAGCAAAAGTTGTTCAGAAGTAGGATGATTGCCTGGCAAGTCAAGTCAAATTAACATGTATTTATTAAGCACCTACTGTGTGCCAGATACCATTCTGGGTGCTGGCAAGACAGCTTCCTGCTGATGGAATTAGTCCCTCGGAGGCTGCTCACTCCCTGCTGGGGATGGATGTGATAGAGCAGATGCCTGTGTGGGCTGGGAAGCTAGATTACAGGAACGCTGATGATCCTGCCCAACTCAGAGATCCTGTAATTTCCTGTCAATTTCCTTTCTGTTTATTTTAGGGAAGTTACAGATTTTGTATCTGACCTATCAAGCGGTGATTCCTGACTCTCCGTATCAGGTTCTCTTTTCTGTGTGTGCATGTAGTTTCCTGTCCCTCATAGTAATGGACTACTTACCCTTCAATGCCTGGAGACCTTTGCTGCCCCGACAGCTCACCACATTCCCTGTAGTGCATGCTCATTTGGTTTTTCATCCCACAGTGACTGGGAGCTTTGCCTGAGTGCCTGGAAGACTCCCATTCCTTCCCCCCCTTTTGTCACCACCCTCCTTCCACAAATTCTGGGCTGTGTTTTTTGAGGTTGTCATCACATCTGGCAGGTCTTTCACAAGTAGTGAGTTGGTGCCTGGAAGTAGATGTGGTAAGATGGGTGACTTTTTCTCTGTTTAATCCCCACTTCTCCCCTCTGCAGGCTGCTGGAGGAAGAGTCTTCCAAGAGAGCTGAGCTAGAAAGATGGCACTTGGAGCAGCAGCAGGCCATCCAGACCACCGAGGCCGAGAAGCAGGAGCTGGAAAACCAGCGGCTGCTCAAGGAGCGCGCCCTCCAGGAAGCGATGGAGCAGCTGGCGCAGCTGGAGCTGGAGAGGAAGCAGGCACTCGAGCAGTATGAGGTGAGTTCCCACCTGCTGTGGGCTGAAGATTACAGTGCAAGGCATGGTTTGTAAGGAAGAGCCTGAAAACTGCAGAGGGGGGTGGGGTGGAGATTAAAAAAGCAGAAAAATAGGGTGCATCTGGATAAGATTTTTATACTAGATTGAGGTTTAATCCTTCAGACTGCTGAACAGAGGCTCTTCTGCTTTCTGCAAACACTTTTTTTTAATATTTTTATTCTGAATTTAATGAACATCAAACAAAGAGAACATTTCCATATGCAAAGTAGCAAAGAAAACCTTTCTCTGTACAGCTCGCTTTTTATGTCATGTCTTTACTGCTGTCCTGTTTGTCTGTGTTTCCTTCTGAACTTTTATCTGCTCCCTTGTGTTCACTGTCCTTTTAAATAAGCTTTTATTAAAGGCTTTAATTCTTTATATCACTGTAACATCCTTCTCCCTGAGAGTCATCCCATCTAATACATAGTATTTTTATTTTTATTTCTTTATAGTATTTTATCTTTTCCCCAATTACATGTAAAGACAATTTTAAACATTTAAAAAATTTTTTTGAGTTTCACATTTTCTCCTTCTCTGCCTTCTTCCCTTCAGTCCTCCATAAAATGGTATACACTTTGATATAGGTTAAATATGTGCAATTATGCAAAACATTTCCATATTTGTCATGTTGTGAAAGAAGAAACAAACCAAAAGAAAAGAAAAATACACACACACACAAAAAGTGAAAAATAGTATGCTTCAATCTGCATTCAGACTCCATCAATTCTTTCTCTGGATAGCGTTTTCCATCATGAGTCCTTTGGAATTGTCTTGAATCACTGTATTGCTGAGACTTGCAAAGTCATTCATAGTTGGTCATCATACAATGTTGTTGTTACTGTGTTTGGTGTTCTCCTGGTTCTGCTCATTTCACTTTGCGTTTGTTCATGTAAGTCTTTCTGAGTTTTTGATATCAGCCTGCTCGTCATTTCTTAAAGCACCATAATATTCCATTACAATCATATGCCACAACTCATTCAGCCATTCCCTAGTTAATAGACATTATCTCAATTTACAGTTCTTTGCTACCACAAAAAGAACTGCTATAAATATTTTTGTACAATAGGTCCTTTTCCCTTTTTTTTTTGAAATCTCTTTGGGATATACACCTAGTAGTAGTATTGCTGAATCAAAGGGTATGCATATTTTTAAAGGCAAAAGAAAAGAAAGAAGAAGGAGAAAATCGCAGAACTGATAAATACATTGAAAAAGTCTGAAAATATGTTCAATGGACAATCCTTGTGGACCTCCCATCTCTGTGAGGGGGTTGGAATGAGAGTGTCTTTTGACCTGTGCTTCTCCTTTATAATTGTGCAACATTCTTTGTGTGTGTGTGTGTGTGTGTGTGTGTGTGTGTGTGTGTGTGTGGTTCTTCTGTGCATTTTCAAGATGCTTCAGTGACCTTCTTTTATTTATTTTTGGCAAGACTATTGATAGCACTTGCCTCCCCCCTGAGTTATTCCTCCACCCCCCCAGATATAAAGGGAAAAACACAATACTTGCTAACTAATAAACATAGCTGAGCAAAACAAATTCACACATTGTCCATGTCCAAAAATGGATGTCTTATTCGGTCCATTTGGTCCTTCACCCTTCTGCCAGGAGGTGGGAAACATTTCCATCATTGGGCCTCTGGAATTGTGGTTGATCTTTGCATTGATCAGAGTTCTTAAGGCTTTTCAATAATTTTTTCTTAATAATGTTTTTGTGATGGTATAAATTGTTCCTCTTTCTCTGTCCACTTCCCACTGCAATCTTCACAGGTTTCTCTGAAACCATCCCTTTCGTCATTTCTTATGATACAGTAATAATTACATTCTTATATTATAATTTGCTCAGCTGTCCCCTAATTGATGAACACCCCTAGTTTCCAGTTCTTTGCTATAACAAAAAGAGCTGCTGTAAGTACTTTTTGTGTATGTGGGCTTTTTTCTTCTTTCTTTTATCTTTTTGGGGGTATCGGATAATAATAATAATAATGATAGTGATAGGAGTCCCTTTTTCTTAAAAGCCTTCATTAAAAGCCCGGCCATTCCCTTAACATTTCTATCTTCCCAGATCCCTCTTCCCTTTCATATTTAAATTCCTAGAAATCAGTCAACAAGCATGTAGTAAGTGCTTGCTAGGTGCCAGGCATCATGCTAGGGATACAAGTACCAAGCCTGAAAACAATCCCCACTCACAAAGAGTTTACATTCTAATGGGAAGGATGGGAAGTACATATAGAAAAAATAAATGTAAAGGGAATACATACAGGGCTAAATCTTGAAGACTTGTTCGAACATGCCAGCTGCTGCTCCTTCTCCAACCGCTTCTGCTGTTTTTCTTGCTGCTAATTCAGAGCTATTAAGATTTTTCAGCAGACACCTGTTGATTCATTGAGCTTGAAGTCCCATGAACTGATTTTTAGTTGCTTTTAGTTGTTTCAACAAAGGAGTGTTTTGAGTCTGGAAAGGGCAAGGATTAGTGGCCTTCTTGGGAAACTGGAGGTAATCGATTCAGACTGAAGCTGGGGAGTCTGCTGGACAGGGTGACCTCTGAGTCCTAGGCTGGAGGATTCTCTCTAAGTAGTTGGAGAAGAGTCGAATTTGAGGAAGGCTTCTTTGCACCTCAAGTCACATTGGTTTGATGCCAGGAAAATCACTCAAGTTCCCAAATTCTGGACTGCTTTTTCTGATGGCTTTTTTGTTAGTGTAAGGAGTATGCACAGGTAAACTTGGAAAACTCACCTGTCTAATCCAAGTCCCAACGCTTTATTTCAGGGAGTCAAAAAGAAGCTGGAGATGGCGGCCAGCAAGACCAGGAGCTGGAAGGACAAGGTGGCGCAGCACGAGGGGCTCATTCGATTGATAGAACCAGGTAAGGGCTCTGTGAAGTCGCCACCAAGTTCACCTGGGCTTTTAGTTCCCTGTTTGTGTGTGTGTGACTCTGGGGCAGAGATCCTTACCTGTTCTGTGTCATGGAGTCCATACGCTTCGCAGAATAGGGTCTTCACATGCACGAGATAAATGCAGTGGTTACAAAGGAAATGTTATACAAAAGATGCTTCTAAAGATAGGAAAAAATCAAGGTCAAGGACCTCAGATTAGCTCCCCTTCTCGAGTGTGCTTTTGTCCAGAAAGAGTAGAAACCAAAGCTATTTGTGGTAATTTTGTTTTAACTTTTCCTGAGAGCCAGCCTCTTAATTGGGGGAAATGCTCTGCTGATCAGAAGTATAACCTTCCATAGTCTAGAATTGTAAATATAGGTAGGGGACAGACAAAACAAGTTTTCGTTTTGTTTTCAGGCACTATTATAATGGAATGTGGTGCCTGTAACATGTTTGTGTATCATATACATGTGATATAAAAGCTAGCATGTAGGCATGTTTGTTTTTCAGGTTCAAAAAATCCTCACTTAATTACGAACTGGGGACCAGCAGCCTTCACTCAAGCAGAACTTGAAGAACGAGAGAAGAGTTGGAAAGGGAAAAAGAGCACAGAGTGACTCCAAGGGCAGACGCCGTGTGCCCCTGGAGCCAGAGGTCAGGTGGAGCTGGGGAGCTTTGTGCCAAAGACCATACGGTGTGTGCCCTGCCGCGCGCGGTTGCCTCCTGAGTGCTGCCGGCTGGGCCAGCACGCAGAGGGAGACGCTTTTTTCTGCACCTCTCTGCACAAGAGCCATCTCTGAAGCAGCATCACAAATGTCCACCCTGTTTATTTGTTGGTCCTTGCTCCCTACCGCTTAGAAGATAGCTCTCATTTTTCTACCCAAGTGGAGGGGAGCCATGTTTTGGATAATCTACAGCAGTGTACAGTCTCCAGATACACCTTTGTCTTTGTAATGAATCCTCCGTGCTCTTGGCAACGTAGGAACCTCCCCGGCCAGGAAGCTGACCAAGTACTTAGTGATTCATACTGATGACTGGTCAGTCGATGCTCTCGTGGGGTGATCGGGGATCGTGACTTCCTGGTTGCCCCTCCAGAATATCATTGGCCATGTGGGATTTTCCTGAGTTCTCCAGGACTCCTTCCTTTCCTTCCCCAAGAAACAGATACACCTTCACATGTGTATGCTCCCTCTTGAGTCTAATATTCACCTTCCCTAAATTCCCAGCCAACTGTAGGCTGGCCTGTGTTAGTGGATATTCTCTACTGCCACCACAATTGCTTTGTGTTCCCTAAGAACCCAGTGGCTAGGCTGCAGAGAAGATGACCTTGGGAGCAAGCTAATTTGGAATTAAAAATGGGCACTGGGTGATCCAGATTCTCTGCACGTGGGTAATAGAGAACGGTCTGTATCAGCCTGGTAGCTCACTTGGTTACAAATGGTGGCCTGTCATTGCTCTGCTGACTTCCTAGGACCTAGTGTGTGTTGGGTGGTGCTGAAGAGGACATTAGATAAAGAACAGGATATGAGAGGCAGTGTGGTGTAGTGAGTAGAACACAGACCTTGAAGCCAGGAAGGTTCACATGCTGATAGACTGGCCATGTGCCTCTGTTTGCTCTCTCAGGCTATCATTTGCCAAGAAGGTGCTGACTCGCATTGGTAGAGGAACTGTCCTCACATGGGAATTCCCTATGCCACTGAAATTGCAGGTCTAGTTCCTGTGCCTAAGAACTCTTGCCCTCACAGGTTGTCCTGTGCATCTTAGGAAGTCTCTCTGTACCTGTTTTGGGTTCAGATAGCAAGAAAACAGTATGGGAACACAGCCTTTTGAACATAATTTAAAAGCATAAGTAATCCCATTGCGGGGGTAATATATGATTCTTAGAGTGGGGCAGCCATCTGGGGATAATTCACGGGAACCAGCTTCTGAAGCTCATTGTGGCATAAGGAGAGAATTCAGCATTCACTTCTACTAACATTCTTCTTCCCCACCTAACATTAAATGGAGAAAGTGTCCTGGTCAGATGTCTAACACCCTCACCCCTCGACACCAGAGAGGTGTTTCAGATGAAATGTGATTTCAGTGGCTTGGGTGCTCCCACTTCCACACCTGCCTCAGTGCAGATGTTTCCACGAAAACAGCCGAATCAGTGTTTCTTGTGAGCGCTCCAAAAAGCCCATCACCTTTTGGCCAGTCTTAAGGGACTGAGCCTCTCCACACTCAGCTAGGCTGGTCCCAGGCTTGAAACCTTTTCAGCATCATAGGACATGCCAGAGCTCATGTTTCACTGGCAGAGCCTTCAAGAACCCAGGCTTGTTTTCACACCATCCCGAGGCATTAGAGGAATGTGTTAGGGGAAGTAATAATATTAAACTATTCTGAAATGTCATGCATGCAGATTTATATTATTTTAGTCAAATGTAGATACAATCAAAAGGGATATAATCCTATAAGTTACTGCCTCTTATCTGAGTAAAAGACATTAACCAGTGGAATGCCCTTACGAATTTTTAATCATGTCGCCTTTGGCAATTAATTGAAGCATAGTATTCAACATTCACTTCTTCCTGCCCTTGTAAACTTTATTTTCTTATTTTTAAAAGTTACTTCTCATTAGGGGTCTTAAAAATTTACAGATACAGTTTGGGTTTCCGTTTCTTCTATCCAGATATTTATCAGTATTATTATTTTGTTTCTTCAGTAATGTATTTTACAAGTATGGAATGAGGCCTTCTAGTCTTTTGGAGTCATCCTAAACTCTGCCAATAAAATGTGGAGATGTGGGAGAAGATTGGATAATTTTCTCTTAACTTGAGTAAGGATCCCACATATGTCTCCAGTATGCCAAGTCACTAATAAGGAACCTAGACTTTCCAAAGAAGTATAAATCGCGGGATGAAAAAATGCTTCTCTTCAAGGAAGACACGTTGTTTTCTGCTCTTAAAGGAAGGAACAGTGAAGGCCCTCACTTCTGCTGAAATGCTGCCTCTTTTCTGAAGCAAGCAGACCATGGCACCAAAGGGTCAGCCCTATTGTTGTTGGCTCTCGAGAATCTGCCTTTTGCCAGCCCGCTTCTGCCTTGCTTGGCTTTCACAGGCAGTATTCTTCATTTCAACCTTGACCAAGTGGTTAAATAATTTTCAGTTAAATATCAATGCCAGAGATCTTCCGTGGACATCTGTCATATACATACTCTAGTTACTGTAGAGGAAAAAGTAACATCATGTTAAAAACCATTTAATTCCAGTGGATTTTTATGGATTATGGACAACATGGAAATGAGTTAATTCAATTCATAATTGGAATAATCATAAAATTCAGAGTTGGGTGACTCCTCCATGGTTATCTGCTTCAACCTCTACCTAGAAAGGGTAACCCCTGCTATCTCCCCAACAAGGGGTCTCCCAGACTTGGCTGAAATGCCTCTAGGGAGGGTGTCACCTGTCTTCTGAGGCCACCCAGCCCAGTCTGGGACAGCTCTGCTGGTTGGGAAGTTTTTCTTGATATCAAGCTTTAATTTGCTTCTTTGCAACTTGCATCCTCTGGTCGAATCCACCTTCCCATTGACAACCTTTGAGCTGCTTGAAGACCGCTGCCCTGGCTCCTCCCTCTTCCCTAAGACTTCTCTTTACATTCAGAATCTCCAGGTCTGAGATACAGCCAAGCCTCATCTGCATGGACGCAGTGCCATTCTCCATCCTCATCAGTATTCTTCCTGATGTTTGAAGTAAACTGCTCTTTGTGGCAGAGTGCCCACAGAGCGCACGATGAAATTGCCAGCAGTATCTGGATTCTGCTTGGCATGGGCCATTGGCTCCTAAATGACTATCAGTGTGATTGTTTAATGGAGAGAGAGGTCAGGAAACGCGGGTAATGAAAAGGTTAACGTGCTTCTGTGTTCTGTTAGGTTTGAAGATGCAGTGGAGCAGTGTATTGTAACTTACAAGCAATCTCATCGTCTGAGCACTGTAAGATTGGCCACTTGCTTAACTTTTTGCTAATATTCCTAACATATTTGTGAAGTGTTTTGTATCATTTTTTTAGGAAAACAAACCAAATAAGAAGAGGAAAATTGCATGAATGACATGAATTTAGAACTGTCCACCTTAATAAAACAGTGAGGGAAAGTATGGTGTGTTTCTTAATAAAGAAATATATGCATATGCTCAGTTTTGTGGAAATTACTTCCCCCTCTGCCCCACCCCCTCAAAAAACCCCAACAAAACAGCACACTGTGGTTAACTCGGTAATTGAGTAGAACCAATGGTTGGCAGGAAGAGAGGTTTTCTAACATTTGGTTTCTGAGCCATTAATTAATATGGAGAAGATAATAGCTGATGGGCTTGTCAGAGTCGCTATATCAGGTCACATGAGAAAACTTAGAAAGATGTTTCTCCTCGTGTGTCTTACGTCTTTATATGCTGGGCTTTCTTTGCTGTGCCATTTTGGTTTTTGAGCTGCAGATTGAACAGTGTGGAGTTGGTTTTTTCCTTTTGGAAGAGCCAGAGCAGACCCAGAGTCCAGCTGGTTTCACTTCCCTTCGGCTTCTCATAAAGATGTCTGGGTCTGCTCATGACTGCTTGGACCCTTGGCAGGGAGGGAAGTGGGAGCTGGGGATTTACATCTGAAACTAGGTGATTAAATTTGGTGCATCAAGAGCGTATATACACTGTTACGTTATTTTGGTCTTTTATCTACCCCCCACAAAATAGGCACTGTGACCCCAACTCTTGTAGGGTTGGGGGAATCCATTGATTTTTTTGATACTCAGTTGTGTCCAACTCTTTGTGACCCATTTGGGGTTTTTCTTGGCAAAGATACTGGAGTGGTTTGCCATTTCCTTCTTTTATTTTACAGTTTACAATTGAGGAAACTGAGGCAAATAGGGGTTAAGTGACTTGCCCAGGGTCACAGAGCTAGTGTCTGAGGTCACATTTGAACTCGGGTCTTCCCGACTCTAGTCTGGGTGTTCTCCCTGCTGCGCTCCTAATACTTAAGAGGTTGGGAGCTGCTGCTCTACAGCTGGGAGTGTCCATTCCTCCCCTGCTTTTTCTCCATCATCCCTCTCTCCCCCTTCTTCATGTGACACTTTGCAGGATCTGTGCAGAGCTCATGTATTCAACTTTTCTTTCTATGTGTTTTGAATTTGCTTTCTTTAATTTTTTTTTTCACTTCTACCTCTTTTTGAATTGACTTCATTTCCAAACGGATCCCATTTCCTCCCCTACCACAGGGCAATCCCTTGTTAGAAAGGATGAAAAAAAGACAAAAAAGCTGTTTATCAAAACTACCCAACACATCAAGTCTTAGTGTATTCAACATTAAATTGACTTTCGGTGATGAGATTTTACTCCTTTCTTCTTGCCCCCTCCCTTACTTCCCAAAACACATAACGTGTATGCATGTGCACACACATACAGCAATGAAGGCCCTGTCTTCTTGTTTCAAACTATATTTCCTCCAGCCACGGAGGTGAGAGTCCAGTTTCCTTTTGGTCCTGTTTATTTTCTCATGTCCCATTTTATCTCCCCTATGAAATAAAAAAAAAATTTTTCCCTCAGTCCTGTTCCCAAATCAATCAAGCTATATCTCAGCACTGTGCTAAGTGCTAGGAATACACAGATAAAAGTGAAATGACTCCTGCCCTCAGAAAGCTTACATTCTAATAGAAGAGACAACATGGATATGTATAAGTATATACATAATGTAGTTTTATGGAAGGATAGTACAAGCAGCTGGGGAATCAGTAAAGCTTTCATCTGTCTCATTCAAGCTTAGTAATGAAGGAAATGAGGATTTCTAAGAGGTAGAGGCCAGGAGACAGTACCTGGGGGCCAGCTAAGTATAAAGGCAAGTGCATTCATGGTTGAAGGATATGATGTGAGGACCAGTGTGTAGGCCAGGATGGCTGGGCCTCAGTGTGAGGTGGGAAGTGAGGTGTATAGGGCCAGAAAGGTAGGAAGGGGCCTGGTTGTGAATGAGTTGTGGACGTTGAATCTATCTACCTTTGTTACTTTTGCTGAAACTGCCCAAGCTTAGGGCTTCTGGGTCGGCAGAAGTGTGTATGGACTCGCTCTTCATTGGCTCGGCCCTATGAGCTGCAACAGACACACAGGCCAGTTATCTTGAGTGGAACAAAATGCATTTTACTTGAGGCTTGAGACTTTATAAGAGTATGAACCACATTCAAGTAAGCAGTTAAAGCCTGCTTTGGCTTTCCCAGGGAATAAGTCAGAAGTAGAGATCCCACCATTTTGAATGTCTGTCCAGCTGCCCAGGTCCAATCTATTCTTGGGGCCTGGTTAGTCAAGAAGTTGGTGTCAGTAGACTCCAACCAGGTCCAAGTAAGTGTTTTTCTCACTTCTTAAAACTGAGGAAACAGTGGATATATTTGGCGGCCTTGGCCCAGGCAGAAGGTCCCTGAGCCTTGTTCTTTGTGTTTCTAAGTCATAAATCCATCCTCGTGTTCGGGTCCTACAGATTCTGCTTCTCATTTCAGCAAAAATTCAAATATTTTTAAATACCTTTTTGATACAAGGAACTCTACAATAGCTTGGAGACATTCCCCCAAGGTCCCTGTCTTCAGTTATATTATTTTCAGGGGATAAATAGATCAAAAACCATTTGTTAAATGCTTCCTAAATGCTGGAGGTACAAAGAAAAAGCCAAACCAGCCCCCCTACCTTCAAGGAACTTACATTGGAATGGGGAAAGATAACATATACCTAAGTCAATACACATAAGATAAATACAGAATAGATGGAAAACCGTCAGTGTCCATGAGAGAGGTTAGTGGTTTAAAGGGAACTTGGAATCTGGGGAAGAAAACAAGAGAAAACACACCATGCCCAGAGCTATCAGAACCTTAGAGGGGGAGGCACTCCTAGGTGAAGGGAGAGGGGAGCACCAGGAAGAGATGGTGCTTGAGCCATCTTAAAGGAAGCCAGAGTTGTAGCAAGTGGGGATGAAAACATTCCAGGCACAGGGGTCAGCCAGTGCAATGACAGCGGGGACTGGGATAAAGCACCAATACAGGTAAGGATTGAGGGTGGAGGGGAAAGGAGGGATCGGGCAGCTCTCGGAACATCTGAGGGAGAGTCCTAATGTCTGGGGAAATTATTTTCCTTTTTTTCCCCTTCTCAAAGGCTGTGTTGGTTGGTTCATTGTTAAGCTGGGAATCTAAGGGTCAGTCTGATCTGGGGTCAATCTGTGGGATGCAGACAGCTCCTCAGTGCCTTGTACTATAGGTAATGGTCAGAGAACACAAAAATTGAGGGTTGAAGAGACCTTGGCAGCCCTTCGGTCAAACATATAAGAGAGGAATCCTCACTGTAACAGCCCTAAAATGGTTGTCCAGACTGCATGAAGGACCTCAAATGAGGTAACTCGCCATCTCTCAAGTCAGCTTTAATCATCAAGAAGTTTTTCCTGAGAGGAAGCTTAAATTTGCCCTTTTCCAACTTCCACTCATTGCTTCTGACTCTAAGAAAAGGGACAAGCCAATGAGGAAAGGGCCCGTGCCCACTTCTGCCCACAGAGGCCCCAGCCTTGGACAAAGTGGGGCCAAAGAAAACAAGTATAATCCCCCTTCCACATAATAATTCTGCAAATACCCAAGGGCAGCTATCATATCCTGTTGACTCTTCTCCAGGCTAAAACTTGCCAGTTTCTTCAACAAATTCTCTGGCATGAACCATCCTGGCCTTTCACCCTCCTGCTTACCAGCATCCGGATGCTCTCCAACTTCGCATCCCTAATCTCTGGTACTCATAATGTAAGACGAGGCTCCAGACATCTGACAAGGGCAGAGAACGGAGGGACTGTTGCCTCTTCATTGCTGGAGGCCATGCTGCTTTTGATGCAGCCCAAGATAGCATAAGCTTTTTTTGGCTGCCGCCATCATCACACTGCTGACTCACACTCAGTTTGCAGTTCACTAACATCCTCATCTTTTTCAGATAAACATCTACCCAACACTGCCTCCCCCATCCTGTATTTGTGAAGTTGATTTTGTGGACCCAAGTATGACTCCACATTTATTTCCTTTGGCTTTTCATCTTGTTAGATTCATCTCAATAACTCCAGCCTGTCAAGGTCTTCCTGGATCCTGACAGTTACCCAGTCAGCATTAGCTGTCCCTTCCAGTTTTATGTCATCCGTGTATTTGATGAGCATTTCATCTAGACCTTTGTCCCAAGTCTCTGATAGGGATAGAGAATAGACTTGTGGCTTTGTTGGTGTAGGGAACTCCCAAGTGAGGAGACTCCCTCTACAGATGCAGGTTGGCACCTCCTATGCATCTCAGTCTCAACATTGCCTGGATCACTGAGGTTAAGTGATTTGTCCAGTACGTGCCAGGAGGAACTTGAACCCAGGTCTTACTGGTTTTGAGGCTGGATATCTCCTATTTCACACTGGATGAATTAATTTATTAAGCACTCGGTATGGGCAAATCTCTGTGCAAGTGCTGGAGATACAAACAGAAAAGCAAGACAACTTCTGCCCTCAAGGAGCTCCCATCGTAATGGGGGAGACAGCACATGTGGAAGGTTTCACCGCAAGTCGGATGGTCTTTAGGGGGCAACAGCAGAGCGGATGGTAAAGCCTCTTCTTTCATGTTATTTACAGTGATAAAATCCTATCAGTTTCTAATGTAGAATCATCTAACAGTGCCAAGGACTCTATATTCAGGGTCTTCAATAGCGGTGGTCAGGCTGAATTGCCGCCGGGGTTGCTTCCAGGGCTGAGGGCACTGGGCTAGAAGCACGGGTATTCCTGGTGCTCTTGGGTTTAGAGTCTGGACTGTCTACATCAGGGTCTGAGGGGGAATGGTAGTCAAGGTGGTGGGGATGGGGGTTTCCTTGCCTGGCACGTGTTGCCTCCCGTCTCTCCTTTAGGGTGCCTTGCTACTTCAGCTGTGCTGGCTTGCCTGACCTGTGAGTTGCGATTGGGTAGCACTTGGTGGGGATGACTGGCCCTTTTCTACAGGAGCCACTTCCCCAGATGATGATTGCATGGGCTAGGCTGAAAGCAGAGCCGGTGGTATGGATGGCGGGTGCAGCCACTCCTTGGGCTCTCATGCTTTTCGGTCGGTTAGTGTCAGCTGGTCGGCAGTTGTTGCTGGTGGTGATGAGGAAGGTGGGCTCTTTCTTCATAAAGTTTT